AGAGAATTGTGGTGTAGAAACTCCTGAACCGGATGGAGATACATTCTGAAGTGAAGTCTGCGGACAGTTATATAAAGTTACCTTCAGTATTACGGTGTTACAACCTGTGTCAAGTATAGAACTCTAAGTGACATTTACCTTAGGTCAGTGTGTTACTCAGTGAAGGTATTCCTTCTCAAAGTATATACTCACCTTAAAACAATGTGTCATTTTTCAGGAAACTGTCCTATTCCTCTGATCATTAACAAGTGTAGTGACCACATAGACATAGTCGATGGAAGGTGTCTATGATGTACATTCCACTTAGTATTTTATATGTGACTAACAGTTTCTGATGAAATGATATTTAATAGGTATTTACGAATATCTAAGAGAAAATTTTGTTTTTAAATAAAAAGAAACTAAAAAAAACTGAGTAACTCTTATTTGTGCCTTGTTTCGTTACTGTGTGCACTAACCGGGATAAAGACTAATATTGGAACTGTAACAGCTCTCCATGTTTTGGGACCCACGTGTACCTCCAGGTTTTCCCAATCGATTTCCCTGTGGTTGAAGTCGCCCATAACCAGTAACTTTGCTCTGCTCGAGTGAGCTCTTCTTGCCACCTCAGCCCTTGCGTCCACCATTGCTCTGTTGCTCTCTTCATATTCCTCTCTTGGCCTCCTGCAGTTCTGTGGTGGATTATACATCACTGCAATGACTACCTTGTGTTCCCCAGACTGAAGTGTACCTACTATGTGTTTTCTTTCTCCTTGTGGTATGTGGCAGTGAATGGGGGTATGTGTGGGTATATGGCTGTGAATGGTTGTATGTGTGGGTATGTGGCTGTGAATGATGGTATGTATGGATATGTGGCTGTGAGTTGTGGTATGTGTATGTGACTGTGAAAGGTGGTATGTGTTGGTATGTGGCTGTGAGTGAAAGTATGTGTGGATATGTGTCTGTGAGTGACGGTATGTGTGGAAATGTGGCTCTGAGCGATGGTATGTGTGGTGATGTGGCTGTCAATGATGATATGTGACTGTGAATGGTGGTATGTGGGGGTATGCGGCTGTGAGTTATGGCATGTGTGGGTATGTGACTGTGAATGGTGGTATGTGTTGGTATGTGGTTATGAATGATGGTATGTGTGAGTAATTGGCTATGAATGGTGGTATATGTGGGTATGTGACTGTGAGTGTTGGTATGTGTCGGTATGTGTCTGTGAGTGATTGTATGTGTGGATATGTGGCTGTGAATGATATGTGTCGGTATATGACTGTGAATGGTGGTACGGGTGGGTATGTAGCTGTGAATGGTTGTATGTGTGGGTATGTTGCTGTGAATGATATGTGTGGGTCTGTGGCTGCGAGTGATGGCATGTGTGGGTATATGGCTGTGAATGATGGTACGTGTTGATATGTGGCTGTGAATGGTGGAATGTTTCTGTGAATGGTGGTATGTACTCACCTAGTTGTACTCACCTAGTTGAGGTTGCGGGGGTCGAGTCCGAGCTCCTGGCCCCGCCTCTTCACTGATCGCTACTAGGTCACTCTCCCTGAGCCGTGAGCTTTATCATACCTCTGCTTAAAGCTATGTATGGATCCTGCCTCCACTACATCGCTTCCCAAACTATTCCACTTACTGACTACTCTGTGGCTGAAGAAATACTTCCTAACATCTCTGTGATTCATCTGTGTCTTCAACTTCCAACTGTGTCCCCTTGTTACTGTGTCCAATCTCTGGAACATCCTGTCTTTGTCCACCTTGTCAATTCCTCTCAGTATTTTGTATGTCGTTATCATGTCCCCCCTATCTCTCCTGTCCTCCAGTGTCGTCAGGTTGATTTCCCTTAACCTCTCCTCGTAGGACATACCTCTTAGCTCTGGTACTAGTCTTGTTGCAAACCTTTGCACTTTCTCTAGTTTCTTTACGTGTTTGGCTAGGTGTGGGTTCCAAACTGGTGCCGCATACTCCAATATGGTGCACAGGGTCCTGAACGATTCCTTATTAAGATGTCAGAATGTTGTTCTGAGGTTTGCTAGGCGCCCATATGCTGCAGCAGTTATTTGGTTGATGTGCGCTTCAGGAGATGTGCCTGGTGTTATACTCACCCCAAGATCTTTTTCCTTGAGTGAGGTTTGTAGTCTCTAGCCCCATACACTGTACTCCGTCTGCGGTCTTCTTTGCCTTTCCCCAATCTTCATGACTTTGCACTTGGTGGGATTGAACTCCAGGAGCCAATTGCTGGACCAGGTCTGCAGCCTGTCCAGAACCCTTTGTAGTTCTGCCTGGTCTTCGATGGAGTGAATTCTTCTCATCAACTTCACGTCATCTGCAAACAGGGACACCTCGGAGTCTATTCCTTCCGCCATGTCATTCACAAATACCAGAAACAGCACTGGTCCTAGGACTGACCTCTGTGGGACCACGCTGGTCACAGGTGCCCACTCTGACACCTCGCCACGTACCATGACTCGCTGCTGTCTTCCTGACAAGTATTCCCTGATCCATTGTAGTGCCTTCCCTGTTATCCCTGCTTGGTCCTCCAGTTTTTGCACCAATCTCTTGTGGGGGTATGTGGCTGTGAGTGATAGTATGTGTGAGTATGTGATTGTGAATAAGAGTATGTGTGGGTATGTGGCTGTGAATGCTGGTATATCTGGGTATGTGGCTGCGAGTAATGGTATGTGTGGACTTGTGGCTGTGAATGATGGTACGTGTGGGTATGTGGATGTTGAATTGTGATATATGTGGGTATGTGGCTGTGAGTGTATGGTATGTGTTATTGGTATGTGAGTATGATGGCTTGGATATGGTATGTGTATGTGGACTGTGAGTGATGATGTGTGTTGTGGTATGTTTGTGTTGTGGTGAGTATGGTATGTGTGGATATGTTGGCTGTGAATATGGTATATGTGGATATGTGGCTGTTAATATGTGGTATGTGTGGTGGTATGTGGCTGTGAGTGGTATATGTGTGGGTATGTGGATGTGAATTGTGATATATGTGATATGTGGCTATGAATGTGGTTTATGTGGGTATGTGGCTCTGAATGGTGGTATATGTGGGCATGTGGGGTGATGGTTGTATGCGTGAATATGTGTCTCTCCATCATTTGTGGTATGTGGCTGTGAATGGTTCGGTGTGTGGGTATGTGGCTCTGAATGTGTGTGGTATGTGGCTGCGATGTGATGGTATGTTATGGGTATGTGGCTGTGAATAATGGTATGTGGCTGTGAATGGTGGATATGTGGGTATGTGGATGTGTATGATATGTATATGTGGGGTATGTGACTGAATGGTGGTATGTTTGGGTATGTGTTGTGAATGATGATTGTGGATATTTGGCTGTGTATGGTAGTGTGTGTGCGTATGTGACTGTGTACGTATGTGATGGTGTGTGTGGATATGCCTCTGCGAATGATATGTGTAGGTATGTGTCTGTTAATGGTTGTATGTGTGGTATGTGGCTGTGAAAGTTTGTATGTGTGGGTATGTGGCTGTGAATCATATGTGTTGGTATGTGGCTGCGAGTGATGGTATGCGTGTTGGCTGTGAATGATGGTATGTGTGTGTGTGGCTGTGAATTGTGGTATGTGTGTTGTTGCTGTGAATGGTTTTATGTGTGGATATATGGCTGTGAATGGTATGTTTAGGTATGTGGCGCGAGTGATGGTATGTGAGTGTATGTGGCTGTGAATGTTGGTATGTGTGAGTATGTGGTTGTTAGTGATGATATGTGTGAGTATGTGGTTGTTAGTGATGGTATTTGTGTGTAATGTGGCTGCGAATGATGGTATGTTCGGGTATGTGGCTGTGAGTGATGGTACATATGTGTGTATGTGGCTGTAAATACTTGTATGTAGCTGTGAGTGGTGGTATTGGACCGTGAGTGTGGTATAGGCTGCGAGTGATGGTATGTGGCTGTGAGTGGTGGTATTGATCTGTGAGTGATGGTATGTTGGGGTATGTGGCAGTAATAATGGTATGTAAACTCTGAGTTATGGTATTGGGTGGCGTACGGCTGTGGGTGGTGTGTGGCGGTGTGTGATGCCGGTGACGATGTGTGATGGTGTTGTGAAATGCTGTGTGTTAACGTCTGGCCACCGAGGAGTCAGTATGTGGTGAAGAATGTCCACATGAGAGTCGGTATGTTGGTGAGTGTATCCGGACGAAATGTGGTGAGGAGAAACAGTCTGTGTAAGATGTCATCCAGGTTTCAATATCTGGCTCTTAGCTTCGGCCAGCCGGTCGTCAGCGTTACTCAGAGCCAGCTATCTTTAATATCTGCAGAGTATCCTGTCTCTAGGCAGTCAGTTAGCTTTTTCTGCCAACAGAGTCAGCTAACTTTATTTTTTTTTTTTTGCAAAGTCTTCTAAATATATACAGAGTCAGCTAGCTTTATTTCATTCAGGGAACAGCTGACTTTCCAGACACAGGCTCAGGTAGCTTTATCTTATGCTAGGAGCCTGGTAGCTTTACCGCGTGTAAAGACTGCCAGCTATACTTGATGATGAGCTATGTAGCTTTAATTATACAGAATGACATAGTCCGCATACATCATAACAAAATTAAAATTTAATTGATAATATATAACTTTGACCAGTGTAGCTTAGCAAGCTAAAATATATATGGTTAAGTTTAACAAGTTAGGTTGGTGTGCTAGAGTGCATAAAAATATTTTGAATTCCATGATAATTTTATTCGGATAATGTAGAATGTAAATTTATCGACAAAGAGTAATTAAACGAGAGCTCGGCTTGACGGGTCGACTGTTTAAAACGCTTGTGCACCAAGCGTTTTACTAGGAAAACCTGTTTAAATCGTCCAGATTCACTGCAAAATTAATGTTACTGGGCAGCGACTTTAAAAGTTTATAAGTCTGATATATAGGGGAGTGAGTGTGTTGATTTGGAAAGTGTTGAAATGGTGTTGTGTGGCAGTGTGTGGTAAGTGCCGCGGGCCCCACGCGGTCTGGGACAGCAGCAGTGTGGCAGTGTGTGGTAAGTGTGGCGGGCCCCAAGCGGTCTGGGACAGCGGCTGTGGGGCGAAGAGTTTAGTGTTCGCCACGCTGGCTCAGGTAGCAGCGGTGTAGCCAGTTTAGTGTTCTCCACGCTGACTGGCTGACAGGTCAGCAGTCTCGTGCTAACAACCTCGCTCACTCTAGCACAGTCATTTCTGTTAGTGTTCTCTTCTCGTGATATATAAGCGGTTCTATTTTCCAATTAATTCGGAAAGTTTTGATTGACATCCATATCTTGTATTTTTAAGTTAGGTAATATTCAGTATTAAGTTGTAATTCGTCGGCAAAGTTTAAAAATTATTTTTTTATTTCTATTTTTCAAAGGTCTGAGTTTCTGCGTTATTGTCAATAGAAATTCTGAGATGGTTCTCCCATAAATTGTAAATGGTATTTGAACGACAAGTGAAGAACACTGAACATGTTATTATCCAGTGTGTTAAGTGTGTGAACTAACTAGAGAACTGTAAGAACAGCGACAACCTAGTAGTCATCAGTGGTTATTATCGCAGGTGAGTACCTCCAGTAGGAGTACCTGTGTTTATACTGAATACTAAGCATGGACCACACAGCATCCCTCGTCTGTAATACTCAGGATGTACCCTACAGCATCCCTCCTCTATAATACTCAGGATGTACCCCACAGCATCCCTCCTCTATAATACTCCGGATGTACCCCACAGCATCCCTACTCTATAATACTCAGGATGTACCCCACAGCATCCCTCCTCCTTAATACTGAGGATGTACCCCACAGCATCCCTCCTATATAATACTCAAAATGTATTTCTCAGCATCCCTCCTCTATAATACTCAGGATGTACCCCACAGCATCCCTCCTCTATAATACTGAGGATGTACCCCACAGCATCCCTCCTCTATAATGCACAGGATGTACCCCACAGCATCCCTTATGTATAATACTCAGGATGTACCCCACAGCATCCCTCCTCTATAATATTCAGGATGTACCCCACAGCATCCCTCCTCTATAATACTCAGGATGTACCCCACAGCATCCCTCCTCTATAATACTCAGGATGTACCCCACAGAATCCCTCCTCTATAATACTGAGGATGTACCCCACAGCATCTCTCCTCTATAATACTCAGGATGTACCCCACAGCATCCCTCCTTCTTAATACTGAGGATGTACCCCACTGCATCCCTCTTCTATAATACTCAGGATGTACCCCACAGCATCCCTCCTCTATAATACTCAGGATGTACCCCACAGCATCCCTCCTCCATAATACTCAGGATGTACCCAACAGCATCCCTCCTCTATAATACTCAGGATGTACCCCACAGCATCCCTCCTCTATAATACTCAGGATGTACCGCACAGCATCCCTCCTCTATAATACTCATGATGTACCCTGCAGCATCCCTCCTCTATAATACTCAGGATGTACCCCACAGCATCCCTCCTCTATAATACTCAGGATGTACCCCACAGCATCCCTCATCTATAATACTCATGATGTACCCCACAGCATCCCTCCTCTATAATACTCAGGATGTACCCCACAGCATCCCTCCTCTATAATACTCAGGATGTAACCCACAGCATCCCTCCTCTATAATACTCAGGATGTACCCCACAGCATCCCTCCTCTATAATACTCAGGATGTACCCCACAGCATCCCTCCTCTATAATACTCAGGATGTACCCCACAGCAACCCTCCTCTATAATACTCAGGATGTACCCCACTGCATCCCTCCTCTATAATACTCAGGATGTACCCCACAGCATCCCTCCTCTATAATACTCAGGATGTACCTCACAGCATCCCTCCTCTATAATACTCAGGATGTACCCTACAGCATCCCTCCTCTATAATACTCAGGATGTACCCCACAGCATCCCTCCTCTATAATACTCATGATGTACCCTACAGCATCCCTCCTCTATAATACTCAGGATGAACCCCACAGCATCCCTCCTCTATTAATTCTCAGGATGTACCCTACAGCATCCCTCCTCTATAATACTCAGGATGTACCCCACAGCATCCCTCCTCTATAATACTCATGATGTACCCTACAGCATCCCTCCTCTATAATACTCAGGATGTACCCCACAGCATCCCTCCTCTATAATACTCAGGATGTACCCCACAGCATCCCTCCTCTATAATACTCAGGATGTACCCCACAGCATCCCTCCTCTATAATACTCAGGATGTACCCCACAGCATCCCTCCTCTATAATACTCATGATGTACCCCACGGCATCCCTCCTCTATAATACTGAGGTTGTACCCCACAGGATCCCTCCTCTATAATACTCATGATGTACCCTACAGCATCCCTCCTCTATAATACTCATGATGTACCCTGCAGCATCCCTCCTCTATTAATTCTCAGGATGTACCCTACAGCATCCCTCCTCTATAATACTCAGGATGTACCCCACAGCATCCCTCCTCTATAATACTCATGATGTACCCTACAGCATCCCTCCTCTATAATACTCATGATGTACCCTACAGCATCCCTCCTCTATTAATTCTCAGGATGTACCCTACAGCATCCCTCCTCTATAATACTCAGGATGTACCCCACAGCATCCCTCCTCTATAATACTCATGATGTACCCTACAACATCCCTCCTCTATAATACTTAGGATGTACCCCACAGCATCCCTCCTCTATAATATTCAGGATGTACCTCACAGCATCCCTCCTCTATAATACTCAGGATGTACCCCACAGCATCCCTCCTCTATAATACTCATGATGTACCCCACAGCATCCCTCCTCTATAATACTGATGATGTACCCCACAGCATCCTTCCTCTATTAATTCTCAGGATGTACCCTACAGCATCCCTCCTCTATAATACTCAGGATGTACCCCACAGCATCCCTCCTCTATAATACTCATGATGTACCCTACAGCATCCCTCCTCTATAATACTCATGATGTACCCTACAGCATCCCTCCTCTATTAATTCTCAGGATGTACCCTACAGCATCCCTCCTCTATAATACTCAGGATGTACCCCACAGCATCCCTCCTCTATAATACTCATGATGTACCCTACAGCATCCCTCCTCTATAATACTCATGATGTACCCCACAGCATCCCTCCTCTATAATACTCATGATGTACCCCACAGCATCCCTCCTCTATAATACTCAGGATGTACCCCACAGCATCCCTCCTCTATAATACTCATGATGTACCCCACAGCATCCCTCCTCTATAATACTCATGATGTACCCCACAGCATACCTCCTCTATAATACTCAGGATGTACCCCACAGCATCCCTCCTCTATAATACTCATGATGTACCCTACAGCATCCCTCCTCTATAATACTCATGATGTACCCCACAGCATCCCTCCTCTATAATACTCATGATGTACCCCACAGCATCCCTCCTCTATAATACTCAGGATGTACCCCACAGCATCCCTCCTCTATAATACTCATGATGTACCCCACATCATCCCTCCTCTATAATACTCATGATGTACCCCACAGCATCCCCGATAAGAGACACAGAATTAGTTACCTGATTGTTTTCCCACTATATTTTTCTTACTCCAACTTTTCATTTTTGTTTCACTTGTAACTCGAGGCGGCCTCGTTCAATAGGCTTAAAATATTCATTGTTGGTGTACGGTAAGTAGAAGAAAATTCCAGGAGCAACTGGCATATGCAAGTGTCATATGACCAAAGTTAATGAACAAGTTTCAAGCATCCAGAAATGAACTAGTTTCCAGCAAACAGAAATGAACTAGTTTCCAGCATCCAGAAATGAACTAGTTTCCAGCATCCAGAAATGAACTAGTTTCCAGCATCCAGAAATGAACTAGTTTCCAGCATCCAGAAATGAACTAGTTTCCAGCATCCAGAAATGAACTAGTTTCCAGCATCCAGAAATGAACTAGTTTCCAGCATCCAGAAATGAACTAGTTTCCAGCATCCAGAAATGAACTAGTTTCCAGCATCCAGAAATGAACTAGTTTCCAGCATCCAGAAATGAACTAGTTTCCAGCATCCAGAAATGAACTAGTTTCCAGCATCCAGAAATGAACTAGTTTCCAGCATCCAGAAATGAACTAGTTTCCAGCATCCAGAAATGAACTAGTTTCCAGCATCCAGAAATGAACTAGTTTCCAGCATCCAGAAATGAACTAGTTTCCAGCATCCAGAAATGAACTAGTTTCCAGCATCCAGAAATGAACTAGTTTCCAGCATCCAGAAATGAACTAGTTTCCAGCATCCAGAAATGAACTAGTTTCCAGCATCCAGAAATGAACTAGTTTCCAGCATCCAGAAATGAACTAGTTTCCAGCATCCAGAAATGAACTAGTTCCCAGCATCCAGAAATGAACTAGTTTCCAGCATCCAGAAATGAACTAATTTCCAGCATCCAGAAATGAACTAGTTTCCAGCATCCAGAAATGAACTAGTTTCCAGCATCCAGAAATGAACTAGTTTCCAGCATCCAGAAATGACGCTGATAACTTCAATAAGCCTCTTAGGCAGAACTTCAAATGTTCAAATATATTTTTGTGAGAGTGGAGAGTGAAGGTCTAGTGTGTAGGAACACATCTAACAATTATATGTGTAAAAGATGGTGAAATTTTTATTCTTATTAAATCCATCGAAATATATTTGAGCCTGTTTCTTGTGAACGGCTTCAATATTTAATGGCTGATGCACCTTACGTTCAGGATAAAGCCTATTAAGGTAAGTTTGAGGGAGGGGAAATTTATCTACGTAAGAAATTAGTTGATACAGTCTTGAAGTCACTGAGGTCTGTGCGATAACTGGAGAATGAATCATCAAATCGGCTTTAAATTTTCATCCCGGTGTGTTTTCAGGAACGTAACGATCACGTTCTTATTGGATTCGTAAATCCCAACTTGCCGATTCTATTACATAAATAGAGTTATTGATTTACATTCAGTAACTAAAGAATAACTCGACTTATTGACTTCAAAATGTGAACACTGATGTATTAAATAAGAAGGATGACATCCTATAAGAAGGGTGACATCAAATAAGGTTGATATCCTACAATAAGGTTGATATCCTACAATAAGGTTCATATCCTACAATAAGGTTCATATCCTGTAAGAAGTTTTACAATCTATAACAAGGGTGAAATTCTATAAGAAGGTTGACATTCTATATGAACAGTAACATCCAACAAGGTTGACATCCTATAAGAAGGTTGACAACCTATAAAAAGGGTGACATCCTAAAAGGATGACATCTTATAAGAAGGTTGACATCCTATAAGAAGGGTGATATCCTATAAGGTTGACATCCTATAAGAAGGGTGACATCCTATAAGGCTGACATCCTATAAGAAAGATATCCCATTAAATGGGTGACATTCTGTAAGGGTGACATCCTATAAAGGTGACATCCTAGACGGTTTACATCTTATAAGAAGGTTGACATCCTACAAGATGGGGGACATACTATAAGAAGATTGACATCCTGTAAGAGGGTTGACATCCAGTAAGAAAGTTGACATC